TAGCTGTGAGGTCACTGATGCTCGACCTTGATTTTCCTGCAAGTCAATCACCTCTCCACATACCAGACCATATCTCGCTTCATACATGGCCACCAATAATCAAGTCGGAGATCTCTATACATCTTTGTAGCTCCGGGGTGAATAGAGAACCTCGACTTGTGTACCTCCTCCATCAAAACCTGGCGCACACTGCCCAAATATGGAACTCAGACCCTCCAATGAAGGTCAATAACCCCTGACTATCATAATCGAAGGAAGCCACTTGGCCCACTATGCGCTCACTCTTCCGGTTCTCTACCTTCATAGCCTCAACCTGAGCATCTCAAATCTGCTCCAAGAGTGGAGTAATCACTGTTATCCTCAAACACATATCACTGATCGGAGCTGCAACCGCCTTGCGGCGGAGAGCATCGGCCACCATGTTGGCCTTCCCCGGATGGTAAAGGATCTCACAATAATAATCCTTCATCACAACCAACCACCTACGCTGCCTCATGTTCAGACTCGGTTGATCCGTCAAATACCACAGTCTCGTGTGATCCCTGTAGATAGTACAACGGACCCCATAGAGGCGGGTGGTGTTGATGCACTATGAGAATGCAACCCTATGCCGCCGACTTTTACAAACCCTATGCCAACGACAACTCGTCGAGATAGGCTATACCGACGACAAGGCCTCGGCAAAAGGTCATCGGAATAGCCTCGTCGGTAAGGAAATAACCGTCGGGATAAATGTCGTCGGGATAGGTATCCCTATACCGACGACAAGTCGTCTGTACAGGGTATGTCGGAACATATTTTCAAGAAAAAAATAAAGTTTTATTATTTACTTATCCCGACGACATGTCGTCGGGATAGGTGAAAAAACCTAGAAGCTTACCTGGTGGTAGTACTGTGGTAGCCGGAAAACAACAACTCAACATCTATAATAAACTTAATCAAAGAAAAAAGTGAAACAAAAGCTAGAAACATTACCTGGTGGTTCCCAGAATCTACTGTGGAGGTCAGCGGTCCTCCGTGGTAGCTGGTAATCGATGGTCCTCCGGTGACTACAAAATCAACAAAAATCAAACAAAAAGTCGTGAGAAACCACAAATTGATACACAATAAACTTTAAAATGAAAATAGAGAAGCAAACAAGGCTCGAAGACGACTATTGTGGTGGCTAAAAAAACTAGAAATTGAAACACAAACCACTCAAAATCGTATCCAAAATCGAGTGAAATCAGCAAAAGAATAAAGGAGAAAGAAATATCAGCGATCGGCAGTGAAAGATCGCTCAAACGGAGGTGAAACATCGGACGACATGTCGCCGGTCGAGATTTTTTTTTTCTTTATTTCCTCTTCGTTGTGAATGAAGGTTACAATATCCTGAAGAAGATGAAACCATGTCCTGACGACAAGTCGTCGGGATAGCCTTGTCATAGTGTCACACGGATTGAGCCACCTCTATACCGACGACAATTCGTTGGAAAATTGTCACACGAATCGACCCATCTCTATACCGACGACATGTCGTCGGCATAAAGGACCATAAAATGACACTGTTTTCTATTTTTCCTGCAAGGTAATAAAGAAAAGAGAAATGATTTTTTTCAACACCTATACCGACGACAAATCGTCGTTATACATTTTTCAGAAACTCGGGAATTATTTTTCATTTTGAGCCTTAGCTAAGTCAACGTAATTGGTCAACTCAATACCGAAGATAAGTCGTCTGGATAGCCTTATTTTTACCGACAACACTTGTCGTCGGTCATGAGATATGGGCAAAACAAATAATCCTATGTGTGCATGCAACCCTAGTATTTTTGGATCTATGTTTTCTCTAATTGAACATACAATTATTGAACATCAAAAGGAAGAACCTAGGAAGCCTATATTATTTTTGAAATTAACTTCTAGGGTTAGTAAACATACATTTGATTGTTATATAGTAATAACAATTCAAATCCTTAGTGTTGTTGAAGCTTCGAAAGCAAGCACCACAAATGTCGTGCCTCTAATGGTTCACACCCAACACTAGCAAGAGGATGAGAGAGGAGAGAGGAGAGAGGAGGAGAAGACTTGAGAATTTCGGCTATCCTTCTTAGGGTTAGAGTGGCCGTAAATCACAAGGTGTATAGGTCTATTTATAGTGCAGATAGGATGCCCTGGATAACCCTAATTTGAATATAATATTATTAATTCAAATTTGGTAATTATCCACCTCCTTAATTATCTTAGAGGATATTCTAGGAACCCTAAAAATACCCTCCAAAACCGTCCACCACCTTTGGGGAAGGTTCTGGAACCCTTTGTTTAACTACTGAACAATTTCACTTTAGCCCCTGCACTTTTAATTAATTCATTTAATCCCAAAATTAATTCCAAATTAATTTCTGATTAAATATTAATTAAATAACATGATTTCTAATTAATATATTATTTTCATAATACATTAATAAATCGTTTATTTCAATTTACTAACCAAATAATAAATTCAACCTCTCTCCAAAAGTCATCATGTCCAGTTGTTAGTTTTGAGGGCAATCCAAAAGGACAGTGCTACTATCAATTCAAGTATAGGTGTCGTCGGCACAGAGATGAATTCTTGTAGTGATGGGTGGGTGGTGGCGGGTGATGGTGATGTGTGGTGGGTGGTGGGTAGTGGTTATAATGGTGAGTGGTGGGTAGGTGGTAGTGATGGATGGTGGATGTGTGTGGTGGTGGTGGGCAAGTGGTGGTTGTTGTGGGTGGTAGGGGTGGTGGTGGGTGGTGGTTTTGGTGTGTGGTGGGTGGGGGTGGTGGTGATGGGTGGTGGTGGTGGTCGTGGATGGTGGTCGTGGTTGGTGGTGGCGGTGGCAATGGCTGGTGGTGGTTTTTGTGGGTGGTGGGTGGGGGTGGTGGTGATAGGTGGCGGTGACGGGTGGTGGGTGGTGTTGTTTGGGTGGTGAGTGGTGTTTATTAGTGGGTTTTTTTAATTTTTTACTTATTTTTTATTTATATTAATATTATCTGATGATTTTAATTTAAAAAAATTGTATGATCCAAATTTGTTCTCAAATGTTCTCGCAATAATAAATGTTTTCGATTAAACGCTCCCCTACATTTCTTAACAATTATAATGACAACGTACTCATATTTACTTACCCACAATAGCAAAATACATTTCATTTTTTTTCTGGATAATGATAGTATGTAACATGAATCTTATAAGCATTTTACAAGTTTCAAGTTACATATTGCTCTTATTGGTAAAAAAAAGTACATAAAGGAAAAGTACATTGTCTTTATTCATATATAGCAAAAGGGAAATCTCCATAAAAGTCTCAATATTTACGAAAAACTTACGCTTTAGTCTCAAGATTTTTTTTTGAATGAAAAAGTCCTGAAAACCGGCAAAAATTTACAGTTTGACCCTTTTTGACCGGTTGAAACCGATACCAAATTAATTTGGGACTATTTCGTAAACTAACCCAAAATATTGTGACTTTTCTGTAACCCAAAAATATTAGGACTTTTCATTAAACAAAAATATTATGACTTTTCTGCAAACAAAACCCTTATTATTATTATTATTATTATTATTATTATTATTATTATTATTATTATTATTATTATTAAGAATACTATTTTGTGAACTTGTATTATTAATATTGTTAATAAAACATATAAATGCATTTAAATGAAAAACTAATGACATTGTTTAAGGGTGGAGGTGGAGGAGATGGTGATGCTTTGTATATAAAATTGTTTAAGGTAGAATAATTATTTTCTAAATCCACTACAAACATCTACATAGGTTGCACATATCAAAATTCAAAAGTATTAATTACAATATCTTGTTTAATAAAAAGTAATAGGAATAATTCAAAAGTATTAATCAAAATACAAGTATTAATCCAAAAAACATGTTCTGTTACTTTTTATTAAACAATATATTGTAATTAATACTTTTAAATTTTGTTATGGGCTACCTATGTAGATGTTTGTAGTGGATCTGTTGGATTTGGAAAGTAATCCTTCTACCTTAAACATTTTTATATACAAAGTGAGAAATCTTTCTATCTTAAACTATTTATAAACAATTTTACAAATATGCAACTTTTTTTAAATTGTAAAGTATTATTATTCTGAATTGAAAACAATAATAACAAATGTGAAATGACCATATACAAAGTAAAAATATACAAGCAAACATTCATGATTTCAATTCTAAAAACATCACCATTCCTCCACCTCCATCATTAAACAATGTCATTAATATTATTTTTTTTCATTTGAAAGCATTTATATGTATTAGTAACAATATTAATAATAACAAGTTCAAAAAATAGTATTCTTATTTATATTTTAATAATAATAATAATAATAATAATAATAATAATAAGGGTTTTGTTTGTAGAAAAGTCCTAATATTTTTGTTTACAAAAAAGTCCTAATATTTTTTGTTTACAGAAAAGTCCCAATATTTTGGGTTAGTTCACGAAATAGTCCCAAATTAATTTGGTACCGGTTTCAAACGGTCAAAAAGGGTCAAACTGCAAATTTTTGCCGGTTTCCAGGACTTTTTCGTTCAAAAAAAATTTTTTGGACTAAAGTGTAACTTTTCTGTAAATATTGAGACTTTTCTGAAGATTTCCCTATAGCAAAACATATAATTATCTCTTTTTTTCCTAAAAGCATAAACGAGAAAAACATTTCCTACATTCTCAAGCACTATGAAGCTTAGTGTCAGTCATGTTTTTTTTTCTAGAAGAATTGACGTCACTAAGAGTGTGGTGGGTGCCAGTGTGAGACATGTGTAGAATGATAACTGTGACTAAAATATCTCAACCAACGATTGTCTGTTGGATATCTGTAGTCTTTATAAAGAGAACTCCTTTCCTTTCTATTCACAACAAACAAAAAGTTATTCCTCTAAAAGAAGATATACATAATGCATTTTTAAGCTTTAACAAAACAAGTGAAACCAAATTTCAAATCGTGAAGTTTTTGCTTTTAGTTCGTGAGTGAAAATGGATGGAAGTGATATATACAAGGCTACTCGTGGGTTGGATGTTTTCAATCAATCAAATCGACATGAAGACGGTGATGAAGAAGCTCTGAAATGGGCTGTTCTTGAAAAGCTGCCAACTTTTGATAGGTTGAAAAAAGGCCTGCTATATAGATCTAGTGGACCACCTGACGAGATTTTTATTGATAATCTTGGATTAGTAGACAGGAAGCATTTGCTCGATAGACTGGTGAAAGTAGCTGAAGAAGATAATGAAAAGTTTGTGTTGAAGCTCCGAAACAGATTTGACACGTAATTTGAGCATTAAAAACTTTTCAAAATTTTGATTTTTTATTATTCTTTTAAATGACGGTTTTATTTTTTGGGTTTCTTGGGAACTTTCAGGGTGGGAATTGATTTGCCTACAATTGAAGTGAGATTTGAGCATTTGACCGTGGAAGCTGATATTCTTACAGGCAGCAGATCATTGCCTAGTTTCCTTAACTTCAACATTGAAATCCTTGAGGCATGATATTTTACAGTAAACGATTGCTAGAAATAGCATGTACTTTCATTGTCTGTTTATTATAGCACCCTGCTATATCTCACAGTTTTAGTAGTGTTAGTGTCCCACATCATCACTGCAACAGAGTCCAATAAGTGTCTGCTGGAGTATCCCTATATCCATAAGGACACTTTTGGAGAGTTATATGCACAACACATCTTACATGCTGTAATAAGAAAAGGAACTGAATTGTACAATGTTGTAATATAGAGAAATGAAAGTAGGATACTCTAATACATAAATACATGAAAGCACATTGATATTTTTTGCATTTACCAAACAACTATCTACTCATGTTCGTGCTGATTTTCAACAGGCTTTCTTGAATATATTCCATTTACTACCAAACAGGAAGAAGCATATCACTATACTTGAAGATCTAAGTGGAATTATAAAGCCTGGCAGGTGAAGAAATATGACGTTTTTAATTTTTAAGCATTCCATTTTAGTAAACATCAACAATATTAATTATTAATGTTATTCCTTTACAGGATGACACTACTTTTAGGTCCTCCAAGTTCTGGAAAAACAACTTTGTTATTAGCCTTGGCTGGGAAGCTTTCCAAGGAGCTTGCAGTAAATTACGATTCGTTTACTTGTTTGAATACTCTTTTCAGGAAAATTTATATTATGCTATCTCTCATGTCATTTTCGAAAAAGAGAATAAAAAATTGTTTCTTGTTTGTAACCAGTGGTCAGGAAGGGTGTCATATAATGGACATGATATGCATGAGTTTGTGCCTCAGAGAACATCTGCTTATATCAGTCAAAATGATCTTCATATTGGTGAAATGACTGTTAGAGAAACCTTGGCTTTTTCTGCTAGATGTCAAGGCGTTGGATCACGTTATGGTTAGTTGGCATTATCCAAGCCTATCGATTTCTACACTTTCAACCTGTACGTTTTCCACTACTTACCTTGTGGTGAATATTTTTACTGACATAATAAATTGCAGAAATGTTGGCCGAGTTGTTAAGAAGAGAAAAAGATGCAAATATTAAGCCCGAGACAGATATTGATATATACATGAAGGTACTAAAGGAGTTACCTTAGGTTAATATGCCTTTGGGACAGTTTCTTTGTTTTTCGTCTCCATTAAATCTTGCATGGGTACTGATGTATGTCTCGATAAAGAGTTGTATACACAGGTTTGTTTCTTTTTTGGACCGAATAAACATTAGACTAAATGACCATTTTACCTTTACATGTCAAAAAAAAATTAAAATAAAATCACAATATTCATCAATTATAATGTGAGAGGAGTAGGGAGGAAAAAAGAAGGGCGAATAAGTAAAGAGTTAGTATCTTAATACAGTAAGCAAGTGTTTTTTTTTGGCTTATCAGCCCATAAGTCATTCTTTCCGGATCAGTTAAAAGAAGAAACAACCATATGTCCAAATTAAGTGTTTAATTCATTAAGCTCATTAAGTCAAAAAAGAAACAAACCCACTAATCTTAACTTGAAAAAGAAAAAAAAAACAATTTGTGATTGTTCAATGATGCTTTAGGCAGCAGCAACAGAAGGTCAAGAGACAAGCGTGGTGACCGATTATGTTCTCAAGGTACAATAATCATTAAAATTTGTTGACTACCAAAACAATAATGTTTTGTGTTTCATTTAGGTCTTGGGACTAGATATCTGTGCAGATACCTTTGTTGGGGATGAAATGATCAGAGGCATATCTGGTGGACAGAGAAAACGTGTCACTACAGGTAATTAAGCTTTCAAATGACATATAGAGAGAGTCTCATTTGATACATGTTTTATGGATTTGATCAAAACGTGTAGGTGAAATGATAGTGGGCCCATCAAAGGTTCTTCTTATGGATGAGATATCTACCGGTTTGGACACTTCTACAACTTTTCATATTGTGAATTCTTTGAGGCAATATATTCAGATTTTTGAAGGAACGGCTGTTATTTCACTCCTACAACCTGCACCCGAAACTTATAATCTATTTGATGACATAATATTGCTCTCGGATGCCAAGATTGTGTATCAGGGCCCACGTGAAAGAGTGCTAGAGTTTTTTGAATCGATGGGATTTAAATGTCCCGAAAGGAAAGGTGTCGCTGACTTCTTGCAAGAAGTAAGTATGATTTCAAGATTTGTTTCATGATTTTCAGCGTCTTGTTAAGCAAAATAAATATGGGTGTAACTAACTTAGGAGCTTTTTCAAAAGCTTTTTGGGGGAAAGAGCTCTTGAAAAAGTTCATCTCCTATGATGGTAGCTTTTTCATCCATAAGCTTTTTCAATAAGCTAGTGTAGTTGCAAGCTCTTACATGAGCTTTTTCATCATTTTTAATATATATTATTCCTTTTAGTGTATAAAATACACCAACAATAACTAATAACTTGGTAATGGGACCCGCAAATAAGCTTATTTAAGAAACTTTATTATATATACCGGGCCTATATATATATATTATATATATATATATATATATATATATATATATATATATATATATGTTATGCATTTTGGATTGTTGATGTGACATGAATTTTTTTTGCTATTGTGTATATGCTCTAAGAGCCTCTACAATAGTAAAACGTTTTTGTGGCACATCAGAAATAACTCAAGTCAAAAACCTCAAGATATCCACTTTTCACTACTAGTGCGTCCCATCAATTTTAGTTTATATCATTTTATTATTTTATACAAATCAAAATAACTGAAATTAAAGTTAAACAACTAAACAGTATATATACGTTTCTTATTAAAGAAAAGAATTTAAAATATACAAAATGAATCATGAAAACCTCATATGATCAAGCTTGTAAATTTTTACAAGCAAAATGAAAAGGCTCCACGAGACTTTCATGAAGTTATTTGGCCGAAAAAGCATATGTAAAAGCGCGCACTCACACACAGACACATGTTTGTGTAGGTAACATCAAAGAAAGACCAGGAGCAATATTGGATAGAGAGAAACAAACCTTATAGGTTTATCACAGCAAAAGAATTTGCTGAGGCATATGAATCCTTCCATGAAGGAAGGAGAATGGCAGAAGAGATTTCAATCCCATATGACAAAAACAAGAGCCATCCTGCTGCATTGACAACCAAAACATATGGATTGAGCAAAAAGGAGCTCTTGAAAGCCTGCACTTCAAGAGAATTTTTGCTTATGAAGAGAAACTCATTCGTATACATCTTCAAACTATTTCAAGTACGTATTCAATTAATTAATTAGTTGGAGGGGTAGTTGTTTCTTTTTTATTTGACAAAATTACATAAATGGTGCTTGTGGTTTTGATAGAACCAAATTGACCAACTCGTTTACTTATAACTTAGTGCTTAAAAACAAATTATAGGTGCCTGATATTGGAGATTTAGGTGATCTCCAAACAAAAGAAAACGATTCAAAACTTTGCCTGCCTTCTTAGAGCCGGCCCTAACCCTATTTATTGACTCTGCTAAACTGATAAAAAGAAACTATACTCGTAAAAAAGAAACTCTAACTGCATAAGGAAACCAAAATCAACTAGATAAATACTAAATAATAAAGATACTAGAATGATCATAAATTACTAAACAACACCTCCCTTCTTTTTATGCCTCTGGTAGACCTAATCCCACTTATCCACTCGGTTCATATCAATACCACCTCGATGAAAATCCACCTTGTCCTCAAGGTGGAAAGTGAACATGCTCATCGTTTTGTGGGTCTAGGGGTGTTCATAACCGGATATTCGAAAATTCGGATATCCAAATTTCGGATAGTTGATTTTTGGTATCCGATTCCGCATCCGAAATTTCGGATATTCAAAATTTCGGATACGGATTCGGACACCAAAACGGATATCTGAAAATTTGAAATTTTGTTCAAATTTGAAAGGCATATGAAGTTTTTATATTAGAAAGACATATTTTTTAATTAGAAAGACATATGAAGTAATATAGGTATTTAATTAAGGGTATTGTGAATATTTTTTAGCTACTAACATTCATATTATAAGACATATATGTGATTAAAATAACAAATAATGTATAAATTAAAATCAAAATTTTCGGATATCGGATATTCGAATTATCCGAAAAATCTGAAAAACACTACCAATTCCGATTCAGAAAAATTCGGATATTCAAAAATTCGATATCCGATTTTTCGGATAATTCGGATTAGAATTTCGGATACAGATATTTTTGAACACCCTTGTTGGTCTACATCTTCCTCATCAACCAGCAGGACTTGTAGGGTTTTATGGAGGCAGCGATGATTAGGTGCAAATTTGCCTTCACAAAGAAAACAAAGACCCTTGCCTCTTTTGTCGGCGAACTCCGCATCTGTAAAGTACAATGCAATACATAAACTTAGTCTAACAGTGTGTGACTGACTATTGGTGGTGCTAGCGTTGGGGCTGGTTGCGACAATTTCAACAAAAGTGCCATCAATTCCGCATGGCATTGATTGGCGATCTCCTATCATTTTTCTGATTCCGATCTCATAGTAGCTAACTCTTGCACTGTCTTCTCAAAATGATCAGTTGACTGTGTCTGGAGCTACTCCAAAACTGCCACCAGATCGGTCAGCTTAATTACGGTGCTTGAATCCACCTTGGGTGCCATAGCTAGGACAGAAACACGTGAACGATAGCGTGAACAGTGATTCTGATGAACAGTAGTCGTGAAAATATATTTTGATGAACAAAACACGTGAACAGCTAGGACAGAAACATGTAAACATATATTTTGATGAACAACTAGGGCAGAAACACGTGAACAGTAGTATGCAGGAATTCCGATGAATAGTATGTGAATAGTGATTCCAGTGAACAGTATTGTGGATAATTATCCGATGAACTGTAGAGTGAATAGTGATTCTGGTGGTGAATAATGTTGATGTCAAAATGATTGTTCTGATACCAATTTGATAGAACCAAAATGATAAACTCGATTATTTATAACTTAATGCTTAAAAACAAATGATAGGTGCCTAATATTTGAGACTCAGAGAATCTCCAAACAAAACAAAACGACTCAAAGCTTTTTAAAACTTCTTAGAGCCGGCCCTAACCCTATTTATAGAACAATCATAAATTACTAAACAGCCCCTACCTTCTCTTTATGCCTCTTCCCACTGATCCACTCGGTTCATATTTCGTTCCTAACTCTTTTTTTTTCCGTTGCACATATGGTCCCTATCCATTTTTCCCCCTAAACTCCTGTCACATTAAAATTGATGAAAATTGTAAAATAGAGTTGGAATGTAATGCTAAAATGACCATTTAGTCCCATGGAAACGGTTTATTCAGTCTAGAAAGAAAACGGTAGACCTTATGTATACAACACTTCATCTGGAGAGACATCATTGCTCATTCAGCCACTTTATGAATTAATAAGAACAAAAAATCTGAAATGTTTCAAAGATTAATTCTAAAACCTGAAAGAATTTGTTTTCTTACCTACTTTCAGCTTCTTGTGACGTCCTTTCTGACAATGACAGTCTTTTTCCGAACCAAAATGCACAAAAGGTCAGTGGAAGATGGAGGGATATACACGGGTGCACTCTTTTTTGGTGTAGTTATGATGTTGTTCAATGGATATTCTGAGCTTTCCATGGCCATTGCAAAGCTTCCTGTCTTTTACAAGCAAAGGGATTTCCTGTTTTACCCCTCATGGGCTTACACACTTCCTTCATGGATCATCAAGATTCCCATCACATTTGTTGAAACTTTTCTTTGGACTCTTCTTACTTATTATGTAATTGGATTTGATTCAAATGTTGAAAGGTTAGTTACTTCATATTAAATGACATTAACTATTTTCCTCCTTGGAAGTATTATATATGACTAAATAATCTCCTTTTTACAGATTTTTTAAACAGTATTTACTACTCTTACTCGTCAGCCAGATGGCAGAAGGATTGTTCCGCTTTATAGCTGCACTCGGTCGAAATATGATTGTTGCAAGCACATTTGGTGCATTTGCACTCCTCATACTATTTGCCTTGGGTGGCTTTGTCCTATCACGAGGTACATATGTTCTATCTAATATTAGGCAGCGTTGGTATGCAGCAATCGACGATGGAATGAAATTGAGCATTATAACGAATAAAATGTCAAAAAATCATATTTGTTTTTCATATAGGAATAGAAAGGAGCATTCTTTTCTGCTCAATTGATTTTCATTATATATATGGGGGAGGGGGTGTTAATTTTTCCATTCCTTTGTGGGATGGATGAACACATTATAATTATGCTTGAATGAGTCATTCGTTCATTCAAGCCAACCAAACATGATAATGGAATATAATGATCCATTTAAATACCTTAAGTCATTTCATTCCACCATCCTTCCATTCTTTTGCAATTTCACTCCATCCCACCAAACATACTCTTAAACTAAAGAAAAACTTCCATCAGACTATTGATTAAGAAATGTGTTTTTTTTTTTCAATATTAAAGATGATATCAAGAGTTGGTGGATTTGAGGATATTGGTCATCACCAATGATGTATGCGATGAATGGGATTGTAGTCAATGAGTTTCTTGGGCATAGTTGGAACCGAGTAAGTCATTTAAGTAAAATAATCAAGTTTCCATATATCATATGTGTTATAGAGTATCTAGTATTCATTCAAGCTAACCGTTTGTAACATTAAGTACAGGTGTTGCCTAACTCAACAGAGTCCCTAGGAGTGAGGATTATAACATCTAGAGGATTCTTCCCATATGCATATTGGTATTGGATTGCACTAGCAGCTTTGATTGGATATGTGTTCCTATTCAACTTTACATACACGCTAGCCCTCACTTTTCTCAATCGTACGTATCCATCCTTGTTGTTAGTTATGAATTAATTCATAGAGCTTTAACAAAATAGGAACACATATGCAGCTTTGGAGAAACATCAAACTGTTATATTAGATGAAAACGAAACCCAAAATCCTTCAGCTGTTGAGTTACATTCCATGAGCAAGAAAAAGGGAATGATTCTTCCATTTGAACCACATTGTATCACCTTCGATGATGTTAAATACTCAGTTGATATGCCCCAGGTGGTTAAAAACACACTTGTTATAAACTTGTTTTAGTACCTACTTCTTAATATTAATCAAAATTCTTTATCATATTTGATTGAAACTAATGAACTTTGGCATTAAAGGAAATGAAAGAGCAAGGATTAGTTGAAGACCGATTGCTGTTATTAAAGGGTGTGAGTGGTGCATTCCGACCAGGTGTTCTTACAGCATTAATGGGTGTTAGTGGTGCTGGTAAAACTACTTTGATGGATGTGCTGGCAGGAAGGAAAACAAGTGGATATGTAGAGGGTAATATTGTCATTTCAGGGTACCCAAAGAAGCAGGAAACTTTCGCTCGAATTTCAGGATACTGTGAACAAAATGACATCCACTCACCTCATGTCACGGTGCATGAGTCCTTAATTTACTCTGCTTGGCTAAGACTGCCAGCAGATGTTGATTCTGAAACTAGAAAGGTAAGGAATATATTGATCATTTTTTACTAAAAGACTCAAGGGCTGTTTATTTTGACTTATTTAACTTAAGACACTAACCCTTTACCTATTTTCCCTTCTTTTTTCCTCTCAACTCCTCTCACGTTAAAACTGATGAATATTATGAAAAAATGGAATGCAAGGGTAAAATGATCATTTACATCCATTGAGACGGTTTATTCTGTCTAGAAAAGAAACAAATCTTATGTACATAGCCCATTATCCACACAGATCTTAATACTCATTCAACCACTTTACTTATACATAACTTACCGGAAGAAAAAAAAAACTAACTAAAGGTAATTTACACTTAATAGTAAAACAACATGTGCAGATGTTTGTTGGTGAAGTTATGGAACTTGTGGAACTGACTCCATTGAGAGATGCGCTAGTTGGGTTGCCAGGTGTAAATGGACTATCAACCGAACAGCGAAAGCGGTTAACCATAGCGGTTGAGCTGGTGGCTAACCCATCTATAATATTTATGGATGAACCAACGTCCGGTCTTGATGCTAGAGCGGCTGCTATTGTGATGAGAACTGTTAGGAACACCGTGGACACGGGTAGAACCGTTGTGTGCACAATACATCAACCTAGCATCGACATATTTGAAGCTTTTGATGAGGTATATATAATAAAATTAAGGATATATTATAAAATAATATAATATTGACTATTAACTTAATGATGGAAGCATAAGTGACACACTTTTCTATTCGGCCAAACTGATGCATGTTCAAACTGCTATTGAGTCGGTTGGACCAGACTTTGAGAAGTAAGGCTATTACAAGTTGAATCATTATCAAATCTAAAAAATAGATTGGGGCCGATTGATAACCTCTGAATGGAACCATTCAGACGTCACCTCTGAATCGGTCAGCATTCAGTGCGTTTGATAAAGCCTATGAATGAACGACCTCTAAAGGGTTTACGAACCCTATCTTCTCTTAATCATTAAGAGGTTAGAATCATTCAGCACTACATGGTTTAGTTTTATCAAAGAGCACCTAAAAATACTCTTTCTTTTTGCGAAGATAATAAAATTAATACATTCGTGATTAGTTTACTTCCTGAATGAGAATTCTAAAATTTATATATGGGTTGCAGCTACTTCTGATCAAACGAGGAGGAGAAGAGTTATATGTCGGACCAGTCGGTCGCAATTCCTGCCATTTGATCAAGTATTTTGAGGTAATTATCCTTAACATGTTTAATTAAATAAAAAACACAATTTGCATAACTTTATTTAATATGTGATACACCATGACTATTCTAGGATATCGAAGGAATAAGTAAAATCAAAGACGGTTATAACCCCGCAACATGGATGCTAGAAGTAAGTGCCTCAGCACAAGAAATGGCTCTTGGAATTGATTTCACACAAGTCTACAAAAACTCTGAACTTTACAAGTAAGTCAACTAGTCAATACCAATACTTTCATTTCATTAAATTGTTTCTTGATTTTTGTAATGTCTTATACTTATTGATAGGAGAAATAAAGCTCTTATTAATGAGCTGAATACACCACCTTCTGGATCAAAAGATCTCTATTTCCCAACTCAATACTCTCAGTCTTTCTTCACACAATGCATAGCTTGCCTATGGAAACAACGTCTGTCATACTGGCGAAATACTTCTTACACTGCAGTAAGATTTCTATTCAGCTTGGGAATCGGATTGATGTTTGGGACAATGTTCTGGGATCTAGGTGGCAAAAGGTAAGATAATTTAAGAGTAATAAAATTGAATACATCTCAACTTGGTTTTCTATTTCTCTTAATTTACTCGTGTGACTGTAATTTCAGGACTTCACAACAAGATTTGCTTAATGCAATGGGATCTATGTATGCTGCTGTTCTTTTTATTGGGACCCAAAATTCGTCATCCGTGCAACCAGTGGTTGCTGTTGAGAGGACAGTCTTTTATAGAGAAAAAGCTGCAGGAATGTATTCTCCCCTATCATATGCTTTTGCACAGGTATTTTGAGGCTTTCTTTTTTCTTTTTTCAGTTACGTCTTATATGGGTTAAGTAGTTTAATAAGTAATGACGTCTGTCTGGATAACGTGTTGTATACATAAGTTGTGTTCCTTTTTTAGAACGAATAAACCGTCTTAATGAGACTAAATGACTGTTTACCCTTACATTCTAACAAACAATTTTCACAATATTCATCAATTTTAGCAATACTCATCAAGTTTAACATGAGAGGAGTTGGGAGGAAAAAAGCCCTTTAGGTCATTCTCTATGACCAGATTAAGTAAAAAAGAAACAACCATGTATAGATGTCCAGATTAAGTGCTTAACCTATTAAGCCATTAAGCAAAAAAGAAACAGTCGTTTACTAGATAACCCTCAACAATATTTGTTATAAATATTAACCTGCTATTCAATTCTTTTTGCAGGTTCTGGTGGAACTACCATACGTGTTTGTACAAACATTAGTATACGGTGTCCTAGTGTATGCAATGATTGGATTTCAGTGGACATTTGCCAAATTCTTTTGGTATTTATTTTTCATGTACCTCTCATTACTATACATGACCTTTTATGGCATGATGGCTGTGGCCATGACACCCAGCCCCACAATTGCTGCCATTGTGTCTGCCTCATTTTATGGAATATGGAATCTCTTTTCTGGATTTATTATCCCACGACCTGTAAGCTCCATTAATCCTCAACATTTTTGCTTCAAATTTGAGATTTACAATCTTTTCTTTACTTACACATATGTTCTTGTTCTCCATTTTGGAAACAGAGGATACCTATTTGGTGGAGATGGTACTATTGGGCTTGTCCGATTGCTTGGACTCTCTATGGTATGGTTGCTTCACAGTTTGCAGACTCTGAAGATATGCTTGAGAATGGTGAAACTGTAAAAGATTACTTGGAGAGATATTTTGGATTTGAGAGAAGTTTTATGGGTGTAGTTGCGGGTATGCATGTTGGACTCACCCTATTATTTGCATTTGTCTTTGCCTTTGGCATCAAGTCCTATAATTTTCAAAAGAGGTAGACCAATTATCAGGGAGTTTGATTATGAGCATTCCACATTGTCAAGAAAGTAAGCAAGGATTTAGAGGGAATTGAAGTGCTAAGTAGGAGTCCTAAGATCCTTGTAATCTTATCTTTTTTACCCTTTTCATTATAATAACAAGCTTTCTAATGGTTGGATGCAAGCTCTGTAAGATAAATATGGGAAATGTGGTTTCGATAAAACAAAACCTCCCTTTGGAGCATATTAACAAACAGCCGGCGACAAAATCCTGTGGTTGAAACCGAAGAACCCATGGCGCCAAACATATAGTATGGAAAAACAAGAAACAATCAAATAAAATGTAATAACTGAACTTTCTAAAATCTTCTACATTTAATAACTTCAAGGAAAAAAGTTAATCCTACAATAGAACACATATTTAATCATCAACGAGTGTAAGATAATTATGATTAAGGCATCCACAATCCATTAAAATCTATAGAGTTCAATGGATTGTCACATCATCCATTGAACATATATACAACACCACCCACAACCCATTAAACACCTTTTCAATCATAATCACCACTTTATTTATTCTATTGAACCATTCAATGATCATTCAACTCTATTCCATGTCATCACCCACACTCCATTCAACTTTTATTCAATCCTAGTCATCACCCTATTCAACTCTTATACTACTTGCATTGTGGATGCTCTTATGCATGATTACGAGATGTATTTAGAAAGCATGAGTTATGAGTTTGAAGTATAAATTCGTCTTGAAGCCTACCTGTTGTATGTTGAAGCTAGCTCAATACGATGTAAAGGAATGTCAAAAGTAGCGACAGCATGTGGATTGTAGAGGCCGTAACGAGGTTCATTTATTGGCAAATTGATGTGTATGATGAGCATAAAGAACAAATTTGGCTTGGTATCGTGTGAATCCTGAATCTCTACTTGAAAGGTATTCCATCATTCAACAAAAGAATTGAAAATTACTATTATGTATTTGATTTAGCTTTCTCATGAGCGGTGAGCAACCTGACGCTCACAAAAAAATCCAACCTATTCACAAAAAATCCAACCTATTCACAAAAAAAGTTACTCCCTCCGTCTCAAAATTATTGTCCACGTTTGACTTTTTAAATCTCTTTTGTTCAACTTTGACCTTAAATAATTTACTTTTTGTTATATAACTTTTTATGCAAGATATATGAATAGATTGTTTTTTAAATGTATTTTCATTGTTATAAGTTTCATCAAAAATTATATAACACAAATAAAGTTATTTATGGTCAAAGTTGACGTTGAAAGACTTCAAAAGTCAAACGTGGACAATAATTTTGCGACGGAGGAAGTATTAAATTGTTATTTTGTATACTAAACCATGGTTGTCAAGATCGGGATCCTACGTAGGATAATTTTTTGGTTTACAAGATCAAAATCTAAGATCGGAATCGGGATCCTAAGATCCCACAAAATAAAACATAATTTTAATGAATAATGTAAAATATGAAAAATATTTCAAACATTTAATTTTTCGTTCAAAAGTTATAAAAATTTCAAAATATTAGTCATAAGTCACAACACAAAATGATAAACAGTAAATGGGTAAAGGTAAAAGACATAAAGTGGTAAAAAAAAAATCATTTGCAAAAAAATAAATAAATTAAAATAAAAATAAAATCAAGGGAAGGTAGGATCGGATTAAATCTCGATCCTACAATCCTACTTACGATCCTACCTGCGAACCTACTCCAAATACGATCCGTTTACGATCCGGATCGTTTTTCATACCTAGAATCATAGGATCGTACGATCCGAATCGCGATTTTGATAACCATGAGTAAAAATATTAAGTTATTATTTTCTACAATTAAAAAAAAATATATTTTTATTTTGTACGGTAAACTCATTATGTTCTCCTCTATTCCCCGTATTTTCCTCTTTGGAAACATCTTGCTAGAATTGCAACAGTCATCGGAATGACGAGATACTTTTTTAGACCAATGAATATGTTTCTTACATAAAAACAACTAGGGTAGGCATTGACATGGGGCGTTGAAGGGGAGCAAAGTGAGCAGTTGTACAGAGCCCAATTTTTTTTTATTATATGTTATATATATTTTTATTTAAAAATAAAAACATATAATAACGATAAGAGCTATTTTTTTGGCTCGTCTTGAGCCTGTAAGGATATTTAATTCCTTAAGACCGACCCTAGGCATTAAGATCAATACTTGCCTTTAGAACCAAAATCGCTCCAAACTATCGGTTTTGGAACTAAAGCCAATGTAATTGGTTACGGTTATATTCCTAATATATGAAACCGTTTGGGACCGGTTCTGGTTCTTAGTTGCTTACCGAGCACCCATTGTTTTTTAATAAATAAAATAAAATTCATGATATAACTAGATAAATTAACTTATATGATCAAGACTTTATATTGGATAAAAAATAAATTTTTATTTGTAGAGAGTCACGATGTGAAGTGAAGTCGGACCATAAAATTTCGATTAGATGTCTCTTGGAAAATATACATTACACCTCTAATACAATTTTATAAAATTTTGGATTGGAAACGATCAAATAAGCAAATTTATAATACTTATAATTGTGACAGAAAAAATTATTTCTTTTTTCATTGCACCTCGAATCCAAATTTGGAGCAGAAACGTCCAATAAGAAAATTTACAATTTCATATTTGTAGTGGACCTATTGTGCTTCAAAATTATACCAGATTTGTCAAATCAAAAATAAAATAATTTTTGAAAATACAAACCGACATGCATAGGTATTCGAGTATTTGATGATCGGTTGATTAATACAACAAAAGGTTTTCAAGAATTTTATTAACAATATGTACATGATTAAGAGAAGCTAGATATTACCATCGAAGAATGACAAAATTAATTAGCTTAATTCTTGTTGCAAAAAACGTAACGATTTCTAAACTTCTAAAGAAACTCTTATAGGTTATCATAGGATAATTAGCTTATACATTGATATATACTTTCCATGTAAGCTTAAAACGACATCAATAATGTCATGTCGTTTCTTTTAAAGCCAAATAGGCCATTAATTAATCGGCTCTCATGGTCTTGCCGTTTATGAAGGATTATTACAGGCGTTATCAGAACATAAAATGATTTTTTATTCAAAATAATAACATTATGGCCTTTTTACGTATAAATGATGTTAATAGGTTGTGATTTTCTAAAGCAATGTAGTCTATGCAACTGACTATCAAGATTTTGATGGTTACGAAGGATTGTTTTAGGCATTATCAGAATATAAAAATGGTTTATTGTACAAAAATAATATAATGGTTATTTTGCTTATTAGAAGATAATATGTTGGGTTTTCTTGTTTTATTATTATTATATTATTATTATTATTATTATTATTGTAAATAACTCAGCCCCACCCCTTCCATGATGAGACCACCAAGCTATCTCAAATAGTTCATCAAAAAAACTAGAGTATAAAATAGTTTATAAGCTACTATAAGTTAATTTTACGGTCTCACCAAACACTACATAACAATAAGATCGAAAAATAAGTTAGTTTATGTACGCAAACACACCTAAACCTTTTTCACATTTCTTCAGTTCATGAAGTAATTCAACTCGATAAAGAAGGGTTGGTGTCGTTTGGTTGCCTTGGTCAACAAGGAGGCCGAGAAAGAAGACGTGACAGAGAAGAACATGACTAAAGAGGTAAGGGTAAGGATCGGCTAGCTCCGATACCATGAAAGTGTTAGAAAACATAATGTCTCCTCTCTATAATCAGTAGGCTATAATCACATGAGCAAGGGTAAGGATCGGCTAGCTCCGATACCTAGGACTTGTTTTAATAGATAAATACATGCGATAAATACAAGATAATACATATCTAGTCTAATTAGCTAGGCTAATTGGCTTGTTGTCATGGGTGTAATACTTACAATAAGTTGGGGTCCTAGGACCCACCTAATTTTTTAATTTTATATGGTATTTATATAGAAAAGAATTTTTTTTTTTTGAACAACAATAAAGCTTTCATTCCAAAGAAAAAGCTAGCGAGAAGATAGAATTATAAGACATTAATACATTCAACCTTTGGATCTAAACACGTTATCCCAATTTAACATACAACCTCTCCTAGCTCTAATTTTAAGCCAATGGAAGGCAACTTGCTAACAAGAACAGTAGTGTTCTTCGTTTTGCTGTGAAATACAATCCCATTCCTGAAGGTCCATATCATCCAAGCAAAGGCCAATAAAAGAACAGAAATGTCGGTGTGTTCCTTCTTTAGGTTATTAGCAACACAGTCAGGAGTGAAAGCATGCTGAATCGAGGTCGCAACAATAGGAAAATCGATCCACCAGTTATGAAGGGCAGACCGAACCTCCAAAGCAGTGAAACAATCTATGAAAATATGACCTTCTATTTCATGTTTTGTATTGCATAAGGGACATAGAAGAGAACCCGCATTAACTCCAATGCGCTCAAGATTGGTACGAGTTGGTAATCTACCCAAACGTGCCCTCCAAACGAGTAAATTAGCTTTGCCCGGTGCAATTTTATTCCAAGCGGTCTTGAGCGGACATTTGGTCAGAATTTTAGCATCGATAATCCTCCTAAGGGAGGAAACAGTGAATTGGCCATCAGGTTCTTCACTCCAGCACCACTTTTGATTCTGCCACAGAAACATGTTTGCAAGGTGGATGTTTTGATGATCAAGTGCAAGGTGCAAGTGGCTAATGTTTCCCCAGATACCACATCTATTAGTAGTAGATCTAACACGACCAATTCCACCATCACTACCATGAATTGCTTGGATGACTTCTTTCCAAAGAGCATCGTCTTCATTTTTGAAGTGCCACCACCACTTTCCAACTAAAGCGAGATTAAAGGAATGAAGGATTCCAGTGTCAAGGCATCCATTTTGCTTGCAATTCTGAACTTTTTTCCAAGCAATCCAAGTTGTTTTGCGGTTGTCCAAACTACCACCCTAAAAAAAATTATTATTGATACTTTCAAGGTGTTTAATCACTCCCATAGGTGCCCGAAGAGCGAAAAAAGTAGGTAGCAAGGCTGCCAAGCTCATTCTTACAAAGGATTAATCTACCCCCGAAGGATAGGTTACGCGTCTTCCACAATGAAGGCTT